GTATTGCATTGTATATTCACCACCCAAAGTTGAAAATCCTTCTATCACCATGTATTATTTGACCCCTGTTACCTTCTTCCACCTCTCTCCAACGCTCCTTACCCTCTGGTAACCACGAGACTGTTGTCTGTGTCTTTGAGTTTCTGCTTGTTTGTTTGTTGTGTTCATTTGTTGCTTTCAGTTTTATATCGCACATATGTGTGAAATCATATTGTTCTTGACTTGCCATCATACAGAGTTATTACAATGTTATTGACCATATTCCCCACGCTGTACTACATCCCGTGACTATTTTGTAAGTGCCAATTTGTACTTATTATTTCCTTCACCTTTTTAATGTACTCCCTCAACCACCGCCACCCTCAATCTGGCAACCATCAGTTTGTCCTTTCTATCTGAGTACGTTTCTCTGTTGTTTGTTCATTTATTTTGCTTTTTAGATTTCATGTATAAGTGAAATACTATGGTATTTGCCTTTCTCTGTCTGACTTATTTCACTTAGCATAATACCCTCAAGGTCCATCCATCACAAATGGGGAAATTTTTTTCTTTTTTTATGGCCCAGCAATATTCCATTATACATATATGTCACCTCTTCTTTATCCAGTTGTCTATTGATGGGCACTTAAGTTGCTTCCATATCTTGACTGCTGTCAATAATATTGCAGTGCATATAGGGATGGATATATCTTTTCAAATTAGTGTTTTGGATTTCTTCATATCAATACCCAGAAGTGGAACTGCTGGGTCATACGTATAACTTATGTTTAATTTTTTGAAAACCTCCGTAGTGTTTCCCATAGTGGCTGCACCAATTTACAATCCCACCAACAGTGCACAAAGCTTCCCTGTTCTCCACATCCTCACCAACACTTGTTTGTTGATTTATTGATGACGGCCATTCTGTAAGGTGATATCTCATAGTGGTTTTAATTTTGCATTTCTCTGATGATCAGTGGCATATCTTTTTAGTAGAGCACCTTTTTGTATGTCTATTGGCCATCTGTATGCTCTCTTAGAGATATGTCTATTCAGATCCTCTGTCTATTTTTAATCGGATTGTTTGCTTTTCTGGTGTTAAGCTGTATGAGTCATTTATATATTTTGAATAGTAACCTCTTATTGATGTATCATTGACGAATATTTTCTCCCATTCAGTAGATCATCTTTTTGTTGTGCCGATGGTTTCCTTTGCTGTGCAAAAACTTTTTAGTTTGATGTAGTCCTATTTGTTTATATTTTTTGTTTTGTTT